AAAAAAAAAAAAGCTGGGGAAAAGCATGAGGTTTTTTTTTTTTCCCTAAATAGGACGAGTTTATTTTCAGTATTAATGAGATTAACAATAGTTCTCATTATTCTGACTTACCCATATTCAAACTCACCTGCTCAGAAAGTTGCAGGCCCAGTTTCTAACAAGTCCTACTAATCATTAAGAAAGGACTTACAATAAAGGTTATGTACATAGGAAAGATCAAAGAGTAGAAAATGCCAAACAGAGGTATCCAGAGAGAAAGAAGGCTTTCTGTGACTGAAATATTTTGGGTCCATGGTTCGGGAATAAGATGCTTCTGCTGGGAGCTGAGAAATCAAGATGAGAAACCTTTGGCATCCCAATTGGATGTCGGAGTTCTCTGCGGTGGTTATTTGTGGCTAGTTTAATGCAAACAGTGGGAGAAAGAGACCTGAGGAGGAGGAGGAAGAAATTCTCAACCTCTACTCAATCACCAGCTGCAGGGTGACTGCAGACTGAGAACCGACTGCGAATACACTCAAGGCCTGACCTTGAAGGGCACTGGGACAACTCGGAAAACGAATCACTTAGTACTCAAGTCAAGCCTGTTGTGAATGAAGGGCCAGCTCAGTTGCAGCCCAGGGCCCTTGTACTGGAGACCCTCAGAAGAATGGGCACCAGAGGTGAGGATGACGCAGCTAGTTATGTGATTTAAAAGGTAGTAACCCACAAGGATGGAAGTAATAGCCCTCACCACTATTCTGCAGATAATCGACAGGACTCCATCCTTAGGGCAACAGGACTAAATCCTAGTAATTTCATGTTAGGCAGGATCGTGGGTCATAGCTCTAAGTAGAAGCTATAGATTCTACTCTATAAAAATCAATGTACAGTATAGATCCAGGAGGCTGGGACACTTAGAGAGTGTGGCAGAATACATGGTCTTCAAAGATCTGCTTCTCTTTTGCTGGGAAGGTCTTGTCACAAACTGGACAATTCAAACAAAGGGTCTGCATGAGGTTCTTAATAAATCTGATGACTGACATTACTTCATATGCCATGCTCTTACGTAGATTTGTTCAAGCAGGTTAACAAATATCCATTTTGTATTTCATATATGTAAGCCTGTATCTTCAAATTGGGAACACCTCTAAAACTGGAAAACCAGTAGGTGGTAAAAGCAGCACACCAACTGGGGACAAGAGTTGCAGGTTGCTGTTGAGGAGCAAACTGTCCTTGGAGGGGCCCCCGGGGGCAGTGGCAGACAGTAGAGAACTCCTGTTTTCCCATGTAAGGCTTATCAAAAAGCTATTTAATTCCACAAATTATATGTAACACAGTACTTTTAAAAATCCAATTAAAATAACTGTTTTACTTGGCATCTTTGCTCTTATGATCCCTCAGTTTCCTTTTATTTTATGCTGTTTTAATGCTAACTTTTAGAAGAAAGAAGATGAGGCCAACTATCAAGCCACACTGAAAGCCTATTCTGCATACGCAGCTTCGCTTCCTACCAGGCACACGTCTACAACTGGCAAGAACTCTTTTTTTTCCTCATGTAAGTATAATCTCAGAGAGGAAAAATAAGCCCCAAATTGTAAAATGCTATGCTCTGGTTAGATGTTTAAAAGTTGAAAAGTAAATTGTAAAGCATTACACTCTATTTAGATGTGGAAAAACTTAAAAATTAGTAGTCCTCAAGATGACACCTGATAAGAATATACATACATGTATTCTACTACATAAAGATCAAAAACTCTCATTTTAGTGTTTGAAATGGTGAAATTACAATTGTATAGGGAACAAAATGTTTACGTGTAAGTTCAATCAGTTTAGAGTTGGCTGAAATGTGATCAATTATGTAATGAGATGTTGCTGTAGTTTTTAAAGTGGCAAAAACTTCATTCTATGTTCCGAGTAATATATTTGTAAGTTCTCCTTCAAAGAACAGAAGAGCCAGTAATTAATAAAGACAAGTGTTCAGATTTATTTGGAAATTCACAGTTTCTAATGGCGCTACAGCTCCGTAGTTACAAACTGAAAGTCATCTTTCCACAACCCTGGGTGCTGCACGCAGATTGTGTAACTCCCGGTCTCCCTCCACTCTCATCTGGACCTCTTCTCAATGATCCATACAATCAGGCCCTCTTGCTCTGAATGGCTAATTGTACAGACTGGAAAAAAATTTAAATCATCTAAAACATACTGTTAACCTAAAAGCAGCAACTTAAACAAAAAAAGGCTTTAAATAGGTCACATTACAAACAATACCCCCAGAAAGGTATTAGACAAGTTTAAAAAGTTATTACTAAAAGTGCTCAATAAGTTATAACTTAAATCTTACAACACAAAATGGTCAATTCTCTCCCTTTCAAAAAGAAACTTCCCACTTTCACTCATTACTGTACAAACACACACTAAGAAATCATTTTACTCAAATACAGTCGCTGCCCATTATTTTTAAAGAAAACAAAAGACCAAATGAAGACAGACACATTGACATCACATGTATACCTCTGCACATTTGTAGCCAATACAAAGCAAACATCAAGGAATAATGATCCCTTTAGACTTGACCAATTAGACGAGGTCTGGCAAACTCACTCACTGGTTCCGTGTTTATGTACATAGGCAGTGATTCTATCATATGAGACCTGGACTCATCTGACAAACCTTCAAATGTTCTACTTGTAGTAACAGGAAACAATTACCTAAAAGTCTGGAGGATTAGTGCTTATTGTGAATGTTTAAAATGTAATGTAGCTAACGAAAACCCTTTCAACAAGTGGTTAAATGTGTTTAAAAGGTGAATTTATAAAAAAATTTAGTTGCAAATACCAGTCATTTGCAAGAAAAAATCTTGTAGGCTTTTTTCTCATTGAGTCAGTAACTAGAGAAAAATGAGTGTGAATAAGTTAAATGAAAATATCAGTATTGCCGTTTACCCAAAAGAACAGAAAAAATTCCAGCAAGTTTTTGTTTCAAGTGAGTTTGCTACGCAGAAGTCTATTTGGCAAGTCTGCAGGATCTTTATACTGTCTGACCCACATTACTGAACTTCAGGTACAGATCACCTTAAAGCCTTGTAGTGTTTGCAGCTTCAAAAAACTAACAAAGTTATAAAAGAAATCAAATGACAGTATAAGTTCTCCCTCCTCTTCCAGTGGCATTATAAATAGACAAAAGGCACATAAATATGGGAAGGTGCAAGAAATAGGAACAAAGCTAAAGGAAGAGGTTTAGGCTTTCATTCCTATCCCACCCAAAGGAACTGGGCTTCCAAATTACGTTTGTCCCAGTAATTAATCTGTGAAAAAACATCTTTATAAAATGTCTACCATTGTCCTTGTAGGACGTGATCAGCCTTGTAAAACTGCAGCTCATTAACCAAGATTGACACAATCCCACCTACTTTTTTAAAAAGGCAGAAACCATAATTTCTGAATACTTTTCCCATTAATATTTCTCCCTCCCCCAAACCCTTCAAATACCACAGACTGTTCTTCAAAGAACAACAACAAAAAGTCTCCAGTATGAAAAGTTCTATTCATTTTAGATATGTCCCGAGACCGCTGTGACACCAAATGTTCCCACGGTGATCTCTTTGTTTCCTTTGATTATGTCATGCAGGCTCGGCAATGATCCTGACTTAGTCTGTATTAGAGTTTTTATCAATTTTCCTTGGTCTTGGACTTTAGATCGCCTTCGTTTTAAAGCCCTCTTCTCAGTTTTTGTCTTTTGGGACTGTCCATTGCACAGACTTGTGCAAGCGGAAATGCCACAAAAGTAAGACTCTTCTGACTGTGATGATGTTTCTGAGCTTCCTTCAGACGGAGGACCCTTGTAAGAAGAGTGATAAACTTCTCCCATATTAGAAAAATCTCTCTGGTTCATAAAGGGCTTCCTTCCTTTTAGGTCTCCATTGGCTACAGGGTGCAATGGATCTGCTGGCTTTATGGTTTCAATTTTTTCAGTCTTGTACTTGCAGCGTTTCTTCTATAACATTAAAACAAGGTAGTAATGAGACCTCCAACAGTTACCTCATCAAAACATCTAGAGAGCTGAGCTAATGGAGAAAAGTGCCAACTCCCGGTGAAAAGTAAAACAGTATTATGAACAGCATACATACTGTTACGTTCTGTATAGATATTACCATTACCTTCCCATTTTGTAAATGCTACTCAATCAAAACTCTTTACTTAGCTGCCACCTCTGAAAACAGATTTAGGGGGTGATAACTAACATCTGAGTACTAGTTTACTACGCATCAGGTATTATACTAGTTGCTTTCATGTGTATCTTACTTCCTGAGAAGTGAGTATTTTATCCCTGGTTACTAAATGAGAAAACCAAGGTCCAGAGGTTTGGTTCCCTGCCCAAGTTACAACACAGTAAGTGGTCAGGTTGGGATTGAATCCTGGGCTATTTGGCTCTAAAAGTCCAAGTTCTTTCACCTAGAGATCATTACCTCTAATCAAAATGAGTACAACTTACTTTGAGAGGCAAAATGGAAAAAGCACAGACTTTGTAACCAAAAAGCCTAAGTATATTTTGAGGTTTACCATTGATTTAATGGATCATTCAAAGACGGACGACATAAACCCTCTGAGTTTCAGTTTTCTCATATCAACTCGGGGACACTACCATCTCCAGGCTGCTGTGAGGAATACAGGAACAGCACACACACACACTGTGCCTAACACACACTGATACTCAATAAATAAGGACTATTAGCCAGAGTTCAGCAAACCTTTTCTGTAAAAGGCCAGGCAGTAAATATTTTAGGCTTTGCGGGTCTCTCTTGCATATTCTTTTTTATATTGCAACCCTTTAACGATAGCTCCAGGCTCATACAAAACAGGCCACAGGCCAGATACAGCCTGTGGGTCATAGTTTGCTGACCTCTGTAACATTTATTTATCATCATTACTATGATTGGAAATAAACAGTAAATTTAAGGACCACTTAAAGATCATATCAAACCTTTCTACTTAGTTCTTCATCTACTATCACATAACACAATACACTTAATCAAAATATTACCTTTTTTTCTGGAGAGAACTTGAGGGGTTCTACGATGTACAAATCATTTGGGTCTACTATAAGTAAGAGAAAGTAAAAAGCAGATGTAAACTGTAAAGTAGGTTATGCTATGATAAACATTATGAAAATATTATATATTGTCCCTTAGTGATTATTTTCCTAACAGATCCAATGAATTTATAATAATAGATTAAGCATATATTTATGCATTTTAAATTAGTGAAAAGCAACAAGGTGGTTCTTATTTTGGGCTTGACTGGTCTCCTTCAAATAATTTCCCTAAGATTTTAACTGACAGCTAGCCATCAGCCAACACAGTAAGCATCCTTCTTTGGGCCCAGCCCTACCCTCTTACCTGATGAGAAAGACACCACCACCAGGTAAGCTAATAACAAACCTAGAGATCATCTGAGTATTTCCCTAGAGAAATACTCAAACTAAACTACACTGTGTCACAAATGTGGGTTATGTGCAACAAGCAGTTGTGACCAGGTACAAAAGCCAGTTAAAGGAACATACACATAAAAAAGAGATTTAAGAAGTTTTTTCTAATTGTATTTTACTGTGACCAAAACTATGAACGCCAAAATCTAAAAACAGCTTGAACATGCAATATAAATGACAAAGCAATAATGAATAAACACTGCTGGCAAGGTGAGTAAATTAGAAATATTCGCTTTAGGTTTCTAAGATTTCATTACTTTAAGCACATTAAAGACAGCTGTATACCACTCCCACACTGACAAGATAAATGTCTTGACAAGATATCTGACTGACAAGATAAATGAGATTTCAGTCCTACTGAACCCATTAAAAGTAAACAATATGTGGTCTGACAGAGCCAGAAGTTTATAAAAGCTGCAAAATTCACTATAAAACTTTATGCTGCAAATTTACTAGTAACGTGATTCAACCAATTATAATTTTTTTGCATTATGTACTAGAAATCTGTTGAGAAAGTCATCAAATATATAAAAATATCTAAACATTCCTCTAAATAGCCATTTCTACCAGGGTACTAATCTCACTCAAATTGATTAAAAAAAAAATGACACTTCTAGGAATGGTTGTTAACTGTTACTCAGATCACCCTCTCTACTGAAAGCAACTAAATGTGGATTTAACAAGTCAGGAAATGACAGATGTTGGCGAGGATGAGGAGAAAGGGGAACCCTCTTATATTGTTGGTGGGAATGCAAGCTGGTGCAGCCACTCTGGAAAACAGTATGGAGGTTACTCAAAAAGTTGAAAATAGAGCTACCCTACAACCCAGCGATTGCACTACTCAGTATTTACCCCAAAGATACAAATGTAGTGATCCGAAGGGGCACCTGCACCCCAATGTTTATAGCAGTAATGTCCACAATAGCCAAACTATGGAAAGAGCTGAGATGTCCATCGACAGATGAATGGATAAAGATGTGATATATATACACAATGGAATATTACACAGCCATCAAAAAAAAAAAATACTTGCCATTTGCAACGATGTGGATGGAACTAGAGGGTATTATGCTAAGCGAAATAAGTCAATCAGAGAAAGACAATTATTATATGATCTCACTCATATGTGGAATTTAAGAAACAAAACAGAGGAGCATAGGGGAAGGGAGGGAAAAATAAAACAAGACGAAACCAGAGAGGGAGACAAACCATAAATGACTTTTTTTTTTTTTAAAGATTTATTTATTTATTTGACAGAGGGAGAGAGAGCACAAGCAGGGGGAGCGGGAGAGAGAGAAGCAGGCTTCCCGCAGAGCAGGGAGCCCGTTGCGGGGCTTGATCCTAGGACCCTGGGATCATGACCTGGGCCAAAGGCAGATGCTTAAGCAACTGAGCCACCCAGGTGCCCCAAATGACTCTTAATAATAGGAAACAAACTGAGGGTTGCTGGAGGGGTGGGGATGGAGGGATGGGGTAAATGGGTGATGGACATTAAGGAGGGCATGTGATGTAATGAGCACTGGGTGTTATATAGGACTGATGAATCACTTCTAGCTCTGAACTCTACCTCTGAAACTAATAATACACTATGTTAATTAACTGATTTTAAATTTTTTAAAAAATCACTAAAAGCACTGAAGAGCAGCCAAGATTAAGTAGGTAATCTCTAGGCCAAATCTGAAGTAAAAGTAGGAAGCCAGACAGTGAAATGGAACACAAAAGTCATTTTTGTCCTGACAGCATTTGCCAAAGCAGGAGTATGCGAACTTTAGCTCTGATGGTATCAAGGGAATGAGTCAGAAATAAAATCTCCAGACCCACCCAAAGTAGTAGTCTAATAAGAAACCTTCACTCTCCCCTCTGTAAGCTAGGACTCTAAAGAACTACCCTCAGAGAAAGAATTAACCCATGCAATTCAGGAACTTACAGTCCAAATTCCCATCATCTGGTGGTCCAACTAACCTCATGCTACAAACATAAAATATTCCTGAATATAAAGCAAACACAAATTTTCTCTGGAATAAGACCTACCTCCTAGCTCTCTAATTATCTCTACAAATAATTTTTCAAAGAGAAGGACCAACACACAAAGGTAACCAAGCACAGAAAGACACAAGGCATCTTGAGCAAGAGCCTGCAGACACAACCAATGAAAAGATTCATAAAAACTTAAGATATCAGAATTATCAAACATAAGACTATAAAGACAGTTATACTTACTATGTTTAATAAAAAGCTTGAAAATATCTGCAGGAAACATAAAACAAAAAAGGGACCCAGATGTTTAAAAAATACTAAAAGAACTCCTAGAAATGGAAAATGTAGTAACTGACATTAAAACCTCAATGGAAGAATTTAATAGCAGACTACAGATAGCTGAAGAATGTGTGGTCTGGAAAACAGTTTGGAGGAAATCACCCAAATACAGCACAAAAAGGCAAAAAGAATGGAAATAAGAGTTTAGGAGGATAAAGTGAGAAGGATGGTAACATACTGAATTAAATGGGGACTCTTAGAACGAGGCAGAGGGAATGTTTTTGGGGAAAAAATAATGGTTAAGAATTTTCCAATACTGATAAAATATACCAACTGAGAAATTCAAAGAGCCCAACAAATTTAAACAGGAATAAAGAAAAAAAGATAATGTTTCAGTATGAAGGGGAGTAATGGCATATGGAAAGTCTTAGAAAGCAGACCTGAAGAATTAAGAAATCAGTATATATGTGGATAAATGTAAATGAACATTAGTGTAAAAAATAATAATAGTATATCTTGTTGAATTACAACTAAGCAAAAAAACAGAATTTAAATACACAAAACATTAACATGTAAGTCAAGTTGGGGATAAAAGATCTTGGTACTGTCCAAGAAGAGGAAAAAGTACTGATTAACTGCAGACTTTGACAAGTATTTGTAAATTCTAAAGTAGGAAAAGATGTCAAAGATAATGCACAACTTCTAATGACAGAAAAAGAGAAGAATCTCTTCCTAGCTCCAACAAAAAATCTCTTTAGGAAAGGGAGGAAAAATAAAAAGAGTTAATAGGTAAAAGATATGTGAATACCTTTATGCTAATAAATTTTAACATTTATTTATTTTATTTATTTTTTTAAAGATTTTATTTATTTATTTGAGAGAGAGAGAATGAGAGACAGAGAGCATGAGAGGGAGGAGAGTCAGAGGGAGAAGGAGACTCCCCGCCAAGCAGGGAGCCTGATGTGGGACTCAATCCCGGGACTCCAGGATCATGACCTGAGCCGAAGGCAGTCACTTAGCCAACTGAGCCACCCAGGCGCCCCTTAACATTTAGATGAAATGGAAAAAATTAATGGAAATTTTTAATTTAAAAAATTTAATTTTTAATTTAAAAAAATCAGGTTCCTATAACCAAAACTCCTCTTACAAAAACAATTCTGGACCTATGTGACTAATAATTCACTTGGCATTATACTCTCCAGGTCCATTCATGTTGTTGCAAATGACAAGATCTCATTCTTTCTTAAGACTGAGTAATGTCCCATTGTGTATGTATATATATACACCACATCTTAATCCATTCATCTATGGATGGACATTTGAGTTTGTTTCCATATCTTGGCAATTGTAAATAATGCGGCAATAAACACAGAGGTGCATATATCTTTTCGAATTAGTGTTTTCATTTTCTTTGGGTAAATAGCCAGTGATGGAATTACTGGATCATATAGTAATTCTATTTTTAATTTTTCTGAGGAACCTCCACACTGTTTTCCCCAATGGCTACACCAGTTTGCATTCCACACAACATGTATGAGGTTCCTTTTTCTCCATATCCTAACACTTGTTGTTTCTTGTGTTTTTGATTTTAGCCATTCTGTCAGGTGTGAGGTGGTTATCTCATTATGGTTTTGATTTGCATTTCCCTGATGATGAATGATGTTAAGCATCTTTTCATGTGTCTGTTGGCCATCTGTATGTCTTCTCTGGAAAAATGTCTATTCAGGGTCTCTGCCCACTTTTAATAAAGAGCCAATAATGGCCAAGAAACCTGAAGCAACTGAAAATTCATTTAAAATTTTACATTGGAATTCCTATCTAACACCAAACACAAAAAAATAAATTCCAGGTAGATTAAAGACCTAAAAATAAAAACCAAAGTAAACATTTAAAAGAAAATATAAGAGAATATCATCCATAAACTTGGAGCAAAAAATTCTGTTTAAACAGGAGATAAAAAGCACTAACCATAATTGGAGAAAATTTATACATTTGATTACACTAACAGGAGCTTCTCTTATTTAAAAAACTCTATATAAAACACAAGTTTCAGAGCAAAATAAGATATCTGCAACATACTTAATCAATGACTAGGATCAAAATCTTAAAAATAATTATAAACCAGTACCAAAGAGATAAACAAACCAACAGAAGAACAGGCAAAAACCTTAAAATTGCCCAAGAAAGTCATATGACGAAAAGGCATAAGTATATTTGTTCAACTTCATTAGTAATCAGGTAAATGCAAACTACAACTGCACTGAGGTTAATGAATACCTTAAACCTGAGAATCCTAAGTGTTTGTTGGCAAGAATGCAGAATAATGGAAATTCTCACAGCACTGGTGGAAGCACAAACTGTTTTATGACCACTTTGGAAAAGCCTGCCATTATCTAATGACTTGCAGATAAGCATACTCTACAACCAGCAGTTTTACATCTAGGCAATATTCCTAGAGAAATTCATACAACTATGTTCCAGTATACAAACAAATGTTTACAGCAGCATTACCTGTAAAGCCCCAAATTGTAAGCAATAGTAGAATAGATATATACACTGTGAATTAGCTACTGAAATAGGATGGGACGCGATCGTGTATATGAATCTCCCAAGAGAACGCTGAAGAAGAAAAAAAAGTTTACATGTGGTATGATTCTATTTTATCAAAAGCTCAAAATCAGGCAAAACTTATACTGTGAGAAATCCAAAGACCAATGGTAAAACTATTAAGAAAATCAAGAATATGATTATTTCAAAAGTCAGGATAGCTACCTCTGGGAGAAGCAATACCAAGAGTGCTGATCTTGTTCTACTTCTTGATCTGAATGTTACACAGGCATTCACTTTATAATTACTTTGCAAGTTGTACATTCTAGTTTTATGCACTTTTTGGTTTTTTTTGTTTCCCTTATATTTCATAGTAAAAATGTGTCACAAAAATCAAAACAATTTTGATCCACCTAGTTTGTCAACAAAAATGAGAGTTGCAAATCAAAGTATAAACCTGATGAAAAGAGAGAAGGACACTAAGAAAAGAAAACTTATAATGAATTAATGTAAGTTACAACATGAATTATCTAAGCCCCATTATTACCTCAAATGCTTAGCAGGCAAGAGATTATGTAATTTGTCAATTTTGTATTAATTCATATCAACTTTGTACAAAACTCCTAGCTTTATATAAAAATAAGACATGGAGCATTACAACCAAGCCACAGAAAAATGATTATAAGAGACTACTATGAACAACTGTATGCCAAAAAATTGGGAAATGGATAAACTCCCAGCAACACACATCAAGAATGAATCATGAAGAGAAAGTATCAACAGATCAATAACAAGTAAGGAGACTGAATCAATAATCAAAACCTCTCAACTAAGAAACGCCCCAAACTAGACAGCTCCATCAAAGAATTCTACCAAACATTTAAAGAAGAATTAACACCAATTCCTGAAACTCTTCCACAAATTTGAAGGGAACACTTCCAAGCTCATTCTATATAGCCAGAATTACCCTGATACCAAAGCCAGACAAAGGCACTACAGAAAAACTACAGACCAGTATCCCTAATGAATACTGATATGAAAATCTTCAACAAAATATAAGCAAAGCAAATTTGATAGCACATTAAAAGGATATTACACAATGACCAACTGAGATTTATTACTAGAATAACAAGGATGATTCAACATATGAACATCAATCAATGTGATATACATTAAAAGAATGAAGGACGAAAGCCACATGATCATCCCAACTGATGCAGAAAAAGCATATGACAAGATTCAACACCTTTTCATGATAAAAATACTCAATAAATTAAGAACCGAAGGAAACCTCAACATATTAAAAGGTCATTTATGAAAAAGCCTATAGCTAATATAATAATGATAAAAGACTGAAAGCTTTCCACTAAGATCAGGAACAAGGCAAGGATGTCAGCTCTCATCACTTCTATTCAACTTAGTACTGGAAGTCCTAGCCAGAGCAATTAGGCAAGAAACGGAAATAAAAGGCATCCAAATTGGACAAAAGGGGGGCACCTGGGTGGCTCAGTCAGTTAAGCGTTGTACTCTTGATTTCAGCTCAGGTCATGATCTCAGGGTTGTCTCACAATTTATTTTTTTGTGTTTGGTGTTAGATAGGAATTCCAATCTCAGAGATTTGAGCTCTGTGTTGGGTTCTATGCTAGGCGTGGAGCCTACTTGGGATTCTCTCTCCCTCTCCTTCTGCCTCCCCTCCCCCACCCCTCCCCCCATCAATTGGACAAAAGTAAAATTATCTCTGTTTAGAGATGACATGATCTTATATGTAGAAAAACCTAAGAACTGCATTAAAAAAACTGTTAATGGATTCAGAAAAGTTGCAGGATACAAAATCAAAGCACAAAAAACCAGTTGCACGTCTATACTTCAGTTGCACGTCTATACTTTTAACAATGAACAATCCAAAAAGGAAATTAAGAAAACAATTCCATTTACAATAGTATCAAAAAGAGTAAAATACTTAGGGATAAGCCTAAGAAAGTGTAGGAAAACTACAAAATATTGATGAAAGAAATTAAAGAATATACAAACAAATAATAAAAGAAGACACAAATGGAAAAACATCTCACGTTCATGACTGGAACACTTAATACTGTTAAGATGTCCATACTACCAAAATGATATACAGATTCAGCACAATCCCTATCAAAATCCCAACAGTATTTTTTTGCTGAAATAGAAAAATACATCCTAAAATTTGTATCGATTCTCAAGGGACCTCAAATAGGCCAAACCATTTTTAAAAAGAAGAATAAAGTTTGAGGACTCACACTTCCTGATTTCAGAACATGTCACAAAGCTATAGTCATCAAAACAGTGCAGTACTGGGATGCTTGGGTGACACAGTCAGTTAAGCGTAGGACTCTTGGTTTCTGCTCAGGTCATGAGGTCAATCCTGGTGTCGGGCTCTACACTCAGTGTGGAGTCTGCTTAAGACTCTCTCTCCCTAACCCTTTGTCCCTCCCCACCACTATCTCTCTCAATTCTCATTCTTAGTTTCGGCTCAGGGTGTGATCTCAGAGTTGTGAGATCGAGCCCCACATGGGTCTCTGCATTGAGCAGAGTCTGCTTAAGCTTCTGTCTCCCTCTCCTTCTGCGCCACCCCCCCACTGTTTTTTTCTCTCTCTCAAATAAATAAATAAATAAATAAATCTTTAAACAAAACAAAACAGTGTGGTACTGGTATAAAGACTGGTAAGTAGACCAGTGGAATAAAGGACCCAGAAACAAACCCTCACACATACGGTCAAATAATCTTCAACAAAAGTAATAAGACCAGTCAATGAGGAAAAACAGTTTCTTCAACAAACAGTCCTGGGAAAACTGGATATTGACATGCAAAAGAATGAAGCTGAACCCTATCCTTACACAATATACAGAAGTTAACTCAAAATGGATTAAAGATCTAAATGTAAGATGTAAAACTATAAAATTCCTATAAGAAAACAGAGGAAACTTCATGACATTGGAGAAATTAACAACAACAAAAAAATTAAATAAAAAATCTTTTAAATTGGGCAAAGGATATTTCTCCAAAGATGATTTACAAATGTCCCCCAAGCACATGAAAAGATGCTCAACATCACTATGTCAAAGTCAGAGGTCAAAACAGTGGCTATCCTGGGAGGGGGTGGACAGTGACTAAAAGAGCACAAGGAAGTTGCTGGGATGCTGGAGCATGTTCTCTATCTCAGTCTGGGTGTTGGTCACACAGGTGTGCTCATTTGGTTTATGAAAATTCATCAAGCTTTACATATAACGATTACACTTTTCTTACATGTAACACTTCAATTAAAAATTTCAGTTATAAAAGAAAATCAGCCAAAAGAAGAAAAAAAGAAAGAAAAAAGCAGGAAGGAAGAAGAGATTTACTAGTCCTAAGCAAGCACACATGTAATGGGTTAAATTTGTGAAGCTTTGTGATAACAGTAAACCAGCAATGCTCAGCAATGATTACTTGAATTATTTAATCAATTGGAACATGCTGCTGTTAGTAAATCCTGAAGAAAGAGAAGCTAACAATTATTAAAGAAAGCAATCCTAATTGAAATATACAATTAACTTGGTTATTTTAATACTGCTATAAAGTTAAGTCTCTCAGTAAGCGCTAATTATAAAAAAACTAATACAGAAAAATAGCTACTCAGTACAAATTCATTCATTTAAATTTAAGTATTCACTGAAGTGTTAGATGATGGAATGCTATTATACACCCTGGCCTATAAAAAAGAGAGAGACTAGATCTTTTTTTTTTTCAGAAAGTGCCTCACAGTCCTAAACTAGAGACAAAAGGGGTCCTACCTGTACAAGAGGAGGAGGCAGATAAGCACAGGATGCTATGGGAGCACATTCAGGTTTTCCAAATCTGTTGAACTTTCTCAAACATTCCTTTCTAAAAAGAAATACTTCTAAACAGGAGCATGTGCAAACAAAGCTACCAATGGCTAATTAAACTAAGCCCTCCTTCCCCACCCTCTGGGCTTTCAGGAATAAAGATAGATATAAAGTGTGAAAATGATAAGGTGGTTTTGGCATAGCACAAACACAAAGGTTACTTATACCCATTATTCTGTTGCAGATGGTTTTGAACACAACACTGACATTCTACTTCTGCCAGAAGTAAGCTGGATTCCTGTTTATATATATGTATATTGCATAAAAATCTACCTTCTTTGCCAGTTAACTGTAGAGACTTGGATCTGATGAGTGGGAATGAAGTTCTCCTTTTCAAATTCATATCATCATAGGAAGAGAAACATCTAAAACATGAAGAAAAATCAACATCGGGCACAATGAGTAAACTACATATAATTTACTCTGCAGCTGGGGCTTGATGGAAGCTATTGAGAACTGAACATGCCACAGAATACTAACCTCTAATGTAACACACCAGTTATTACTATTACATGTTAAAAAAAAAAATTAAGGATCATTGTCTAAAAGGTGCTATATTAAAATACCTATTATCCTCTCCCTTTGAACTCCACATTCAAGCATCCTTCACAACCAAAATATTTCAAGGGTTTATGCACTTCCTATTAATGTTTTCTTTATTCCAGTCTACAGAACCTCCCAGATATAGGACTATCTTGCTAGTTCCAATAATGTTTTAACACTGCAATTTTAAGATATCATACGGGGAAAAGAAATTATCTCAGTATTCCCTTATTCAGTCAAATTTCTCAAAAATATAAAAAAACAGTAAAAAATGTGAAATAAAATGCTGATATTACCTTTTAGGGCTTGGATATTGATTACTTTTAGGAAGTTTTGAAATATAATCTCCATCAAATTGAGAAGTGTTTCGACAGCGTTGCATACAAAGCATCAGTCCCAAGACAACACAGAGAACCAAAGATATGACAAGATAGCTTTGTCGATCTGAAACCTGAGAGGAGAAAAGGATTTAATTATTATATATTGTATATATTATAGTAATATTAAATATTACATTATTATATTTTGTTATTATAATTTAAAAATTATATTAGGAAAAATACAGTGGGATATAAAATTCAAAGGACAATTCATTTTAAACATTTTTTCATGTGTTTCAAAACCATAAAATGCAGGGCATGCTCTTAGAAAATGTACTACTGAGGTAATGTCTTACTCTGTCTTCCTTTCCCCCTCCAAATCTTTGAACATTTTCAAACCTATAGAAAATTTTTAAAAATAGCAATGAACATATTCATGCCTTTCATCTATGTTTACCAATAATTAACATTTTGTCACATTTGCTGTGTTTTCCATCTGTACTATCTCCTACTTGGGGAGAAAAAAAAAATCTTGCTCCTGCCTAGTCTTTGCCATCTTTTAATACTGAACCAGCAATCACCCAGTTATTTAAGCCAAAAACATGGGGGTCATCCTTAGTTCCACATCCCACATATCCAATCTTTCATCAAGGCTTGTCTTTCTCTTAAATATTTCCTGAATTCAACAACTTCGCACTGTTCTCCACTTCTAATACCCTAGTCCAAACCAACATCACCTCACCCAGGTTACTGCGACTGTATCCTAGTTGGTCTCCTCCCCACTTCTGCTTTTGCTGTTCCTTAAGAGGCAATTCTCCACAGAGCGACAAATGGGGAGTTTCTCCAAGTATTATCAATGAGATGACCCCTGTCACTTCTTAATTCTTTCCAATGAGTTGCAATGATTAGAATAAAATTCAAATTCTAAATTGCCTACAAAGGCCTACAAGACCCAGTTGCCATGATATCCTGAAGGTACTTCTTACCTTCCTTCCCCTCATTCTGCTCCAGCCATGCCAACTTTCTTTCTGCCCTCAGATATATTACACTGTTTCTAATCGTGGGTCCTTTGCCCTAGTGCTGCTAACAGGTTTGTTCTGACCCTAGGCCGCATGTGGCTGCTCTCCTCTTGAGCAGTCAAGTTCTAATGCCACTGCCTCAGATAAGCCTTCCAAAATCACTCTAGCTAAAGGAGCAACTCTTACCACACCACTCCACACACACACATTTCATTTTCTATCCCACTGTCCTTCACATATATTTACTATATTTATTCCCTCACTCCCCCAGAAGAGAGGCTCTGTGCGGCCAGGGACTACTCATTGTTGTATGCCCCAAGGACTGTACAGCTCACACCCACATACAATGGATGCTCAATAAATACTTATTAAATCAATAAAATTTTTTGCTTTGTTAAACAACTCAATAAGCCTTTGTGAACTGAAAATGAAGTATCAGTGGTTTGCAAAAGGCCTAATAGAATTGCTTTATAATCATATTTTAGGTAAGACCTAAACTATGAATGCCTTGTTTTCCAAAAAATTATCATAATTAGTATATTTCCAAAACTTTAAAATGCCACATTCTGGTATTCTAAACAAGTTCTCTATAAATGACCATTTTGTTTGGTTGAAGTTCTTAGATACCATGTTCTTAACAAGCCTGCCTTTATGACAACCTCTATATATGCAGTGTGTCTTACAATACCAGCAAATAACAATACCTCGTGTTTTAATTCTGCCACTGTTGTTGATAAGTTTGAAACAAGCTGTGTCATGTTGGTCAATTGTGCCTGTAGTAACTGGATGGCTTCAGTCTGCCGCTGATCCTATCATAAAGGAAGAAATATTATTTTTGTGTGTGTGAAAGTTTCATCTGTACATTAAATACACTGTAAGTTCCAGTAAAATTACTAAGTTCCTTAAGAAAAAAAAATATTAATAGGAAGCTTCTAATGAATGAATAAAGTGTGACCAGAAATTTAAAAAAAAAAACAAAAAATGAATCTGAGACTGTTGAACCCTCCTCTCCTACCCCTCCAAAAAACCATTTTGCCACTTACTGCTACCATTTGGATTACCATCTAATAGACATTAAAAAATTGCTTTTCAAGTTAATATGGGCTCTACATGTATAAACCAGCATATAGTCAGCTGTATGCAAAACAATCACTTTGTCAAATATGTATTTTTAAACCAAAGCAGTCAGCACAAAAACATGTTGAAAATTTTTGAAAAATGTTTTTGGATATAAAGCAGGCTCATACCAAGGAGCTTTTAAAAGTTCTAGTCTATTGTACACTAGGATGGAACTTAGGATGTCCCATAGTCAAAAACCTGCAATAGTTTATCTAGTCAACGTTGGATATCATCAACGAAAATAAATTAATCGAAAACATCCATCTTTCCAGCTTTAGATTTTTAAAACTTTTATAATCAACAAATATGCCTTTATGTAAAATATCTGCATGCGTATTTTAGGGAATTATGCATCATACTCATGGTCAGGAACCTATATTAATAGGAAGACTGTATTGAAAATTTCAACTTACTACTGAATTTGGGGAGGGGGAAGAGGGCAGATGTAAAGAAAATCTAACACTCTATGTAGGATCATTATGAAATAGCTATATAACCATTTATCACTTTAGACCTAAGTTTTTCAAATTTAGATTTAAATAAGTTTTAGGGGCACCTGGGTGGCTCAGTCATTAAGCGCCTGCCTTTGGCTGAGCATGATCCCAGGGTCCTGGCATTAAGCCCCACATCG